GACACAAATGAATGAGTAGATCCAGGATCAATCAAAACATGAGTTACTTTTTGGAAGATAGTAAGAGTACCTTGGATCACTGATTTTGAGGCCTGAGCGTCTTGCTCGGTAATCGCAAATACTTTTCCCTTCTCATCAGAGGCTTTGGAGCTATCTCTCCCTACTTTGGAAGTTGTTGTGTCTATAAGCTAGGACATTGTCTAATCTGGTGTCCCAATTTTCCACATTTAAAACAGGCTCTGATATTCCAATAACAAGGGCTTGATCCATGGTTTTTCCCACATTTTTTACATGGTTCTATTGAGCTTTGAAATGGCGAGGGCCTTGGCTTCTTGTTTGGCCTTTCAAACTGTTGTCGATTAGATGATGTAGGTCTAACATGACTTTTCTGATTTTTCGTCTTTTGGTAATCTTCAAAATCTTTTTCGACAATTTGGGCTCGATCCACTATTTCAGCATAAGTTTTTAATTTCAAAACTGATATTCTGCTTCTAATAGCTGGCTTGAGACCCCTTTCAAATTTCTTCACCTTTCTTACCTCATTGTTAATCATATGTGGTGCAAACCTGGCCAATTCAGTAAACTTGGCCTCGTACTGTGCTATTGTCCTATTTCCTTGGACTAATTCTAAAAATTTCATTTCTTTTTGGTCTCGAATAAAATCTGGGAAATACTTTTCATTAAATGCCTCTAGAAATACTTCCCAAGTCAAGGGTTTATTTTCTTTGACCAATACTCCTTTTGCCATTCGCCACCATTGTTGTGCCTCACCTTCTAACATAAAAACTGCCAAGGCCACCTTCTTATCATCAAGCATTCCATAACCTCGAATATTTTTTCCAATTGCATAATCCATCCCTCGGCTTCCAGTGGGTTTACAGCACCCTTAAAAGAATGGGGGTTTAATTTCTTAAATTGTTCAATATTACTCCCACCATTTCCTGTAACTGACTGCCTGGGTGGATTGTTGTTTTCCATCTGATGTTGCATTAGAGTAACCATATTTTCCAAGGCCTTGTGAATTCCTTCTATATTAGCCTCGGCTATTTTGGATCTTGACTTTGTCCCGGTCTGTACATACAATAAATGTGATTTTAAGTACATTCTTTTTAAATTTCCATTCTTAAGAATATTAAACCTATTGCTCTGATACCATAATTGTCACACCCCAAGAATCTACAATACAGATATTCTTAAGATGTGACAGTCCAAAACATATATACATCTCTTGATAGGACAAATTTACAGTGGCGATGTCTTACAAAGTAAATAAAGAAAGCTAGCACAACAACAATATCTTCCAAGGTTGATCTTGACTAGCACTCAAAATGAATCCGCAGTTATCCTGAAAAAAATGTTAACCATAGTTTGATGAGTTTGGCTACTCAGTAAGTGATCATCATAATCCTAAAAATAATCATGATTGAAAGATATCAATATTTTCAAAAAGGAGATCTATTAACAGGAATGCATTAACAACTTCACTTTCAAAAATGCATAATTAAGTATAATCCGAATAATTGAAATACATATCACATTTTAACATCAACGCATAATTAAAAAGATTTCACAAAATACCCTACTGGTGTCCCAAGTAGGTCACCTATATACCCCATCAGCGTCCTGATGGGTCCACTTAATCCCTATCGACGTCCCAGATAGGTCCACTTAATCCCTGCAGGTCCACTTATACTTAACCGGCGTACCGGATGAGTCCACTTAATCCCTACCGGTGTCCCGGATAGGTCCACTTATACCTCACCGGTGAACCGGATGAGTCCACTTGCATACTTAAAGTATTTCTAAATCTCTTTAAACATTCGAAAGCAGCAATATCATGTACTCAACATATCACTGAAATCATTAATATGAATCTCACTGAAACCATTAATAACATTCACTTTCAATAACATTTCAAAAATAACCAATCAAATATTTTGGGCTCAAATTTAGAAAGGTAGCAGTTCGTAAAGACATTCTAGCATAATTGCCAATTTAATATGTATAGAAAAACTCTTATAGAAATTCAAGAATACGGAATTATCACAATTTATGGGATATCAATTGACAAATGAACATTTCACAGACAATGCTATAATCAAATGCAAAAATATCAGTTTTCAATTAATAAGGCAGTCATTTGCACATGAAATTTACAATGTCTAAATATTCAAAAACAGTAGAAAGAATTCTCACAATTTTACTAACAACAGAAATATTACATTTATTTTGAAAAATTTTACAGTATCTAAAATTTTCTAACAATAGACACGAAAAATAAATAAATTTATTTTTCTAAGAATTTACAGCTTTTAAAATTTATAAGATAGATAAAAGATCACATTTTCTATTAAAAAGATTATTTTTCAAGATAATGAGGTCGCGTGCGCATAAAATTTATGGCGCCTAAAATTCATGATAATAAGTAGAAATAATTATTTCATTTTATTTTTAAAAAGAATGGATTATTTTTCGAGACAATAAGGTCACTTACACACAAAACTTATAAAATAAAGATCCTGGACGAAAATATCACTATTTATTAAAAACAGACTATTTTTCAGGAAGACGATGTCACTTACCTTAACTCCGAAACTGAGGAAGCAGATAGAACTAAGAAAACCATTCTTCTTTTTTTTTTTTGAATGGGGCTTTTCTACGATTGATCATATTTCAAATTCAGAGAAAAAGGAAAGAACCCAAATGATTTTCTATCCACTTATTTCAATTTGTAGGATGGAACGCCATTAACACTATTCACATGTTCTTGCCGCCATCAATCACTATTGATCCTAGCCACTTTTTGTATTTAGTGAGAGGGTGGGAACAAATTTGTTAAAACAGATGTGCATAGGAGAGAGAGAAAAAGACGTATAAAAAAGAAACACCTCAATGCAAGGTGTCGTTTAAATGAGTGTTCTTATAAACTTTTAAGGTGATAGACTTAAGGTCCACCCAAGTAAAATTGGACCCTCAAGTATACTAGCAATGATATCTTTTATTTATTGTTAATATAAAAGCAACAATATCCTAACGGTATAGTATCATTATCCTTATTATTATTCTCATTACTAATATATGATTATTAATTTATTTATTTTTGTATTTATTTTAATTAATATTATTACATTGAGGCTTAAGCATAGTGGCAGCAAAACTCTCATTTTTTTACCAAGTCTTTTAATAAGCCAAAAAACCTTATTTTCATCTAGTATAAGTTTTTCAATAGCTGTCAAATCATCACATATACTCCTGAATTTGCATATGTATTATGATAGAGTTGAACTCCCTTTCTTGCCGAGTTGGAGTTGTTGGGTAAGTTGGAACTCCCTAACTTGATAATTACCTGCATAGGTATTCGTCAAGCATATTTCTAAACTTCTGCAAAAGTCTTGAGGCCAACAACAAAGCCAAGACACTCTTCTGATAATGTCCATGTGATTCAGGCTTTAAGAAGCCAGTCGGACTTTAATCATGATTTGTAATTTGAGTTTTTTATTTCACTCTTACCATAATCTGTTGACTTGCTGTAGAGCAATCACCATTAATAAATCCAAAAAGTTCTTGACTCTCAATGAAAGAGAGCATTTAAGTTTCCCATAAGAGATAGTTGTTATGTGTCAGCTTAATAGACACAAAGATTCCTATATTAAGGGAGGAGGGATAACAATATTTGTTTGATAAAGATAAAGTATCTATTGGAGCGAGGTATTTGAAAGGAGCGGATGAGAGAGTGGATTTGAGGGCTTTTCTTCTTTTCTTTTTTTTTTTTTTGAGAAATTGGATAAGCAAAGGAAGGTGATATGAGTTATACGTAACTTGGTTATTAGAGTAAAGAATAATATGGAGAGGAGTGGATTTTAATGGTGATGGAGGGAGTGGGTTAATTAAAGTCGTGAATTTTGAATATGTGAGAGATAAAAATAGAGAGTTGGAGGTAGGATGGGATGAAGCTTAAGCATGCAAAGAGAAGCCAAAAAAGGTGAAACAATTAGGTGAAGAAATGGTTTTTAATGGTTAAAAGGAAAAAAATTAAAACGTGAGAAAAAAAATGGTGTAAAAAACATACAATAATGGCTTAATATAAAAATAAAAGATGGACAAAGATTGAAGTATCGTAAGTCAAGATGAGATTGCTGCCCGCTTTAAATCAAGAAACTACTTCAAGATGAATTGCTGAAAGAATCAATGATGCTTTGATACCGTATAGAAACTTTTAGAGAGAGAAGATCTCTTTTTAAAACAATAATTGTATTCCATACTATGTTAAGATGATTTTTATATTATATATATAATAATTATACAATTATATAATACACACTTTCCTATCTTGTTATACGTAATATACACTTTCTTATTACATTTTCATCTAAAAAATAATAATATTTCTATTGTGGCTTTTTTTTAAATCTGAGATCGGATGTTGTTTCTATTGTACCGTGATACCATAAACGGGGAGATAGAGACGAAGTGAGTACGAAAGGTGTCAGACACGTTTGAACTTCATTCTTGTGCGCATTTCGTTGCATAAAATGCAGGAAAAATATTATTATAGATGCATCAGAATATGTGCTGCTCTATACATGTCCAATATACAGGGGAAACCATTATATCATTCCCACAGGGTCTATAGCAGAGAGAGAGAGTGTGTGTCAAGCAGGGACAGCAAAACTCTCTTCAGTCCAGTGAACAGGGTCTGCAACGGCACAGATGTCTTTCTTCTCAAAATGAGCCACCTGAATCAGAAAATATAAAAAACAAAACAAAAATTTAAAAAGTAAAGGACATACAGTTATCTACGAAAGCAAAAATTTAAAAAGTAAACGGCCCACATTTATCTACGAAAACTAATTGAAACTGATATCTACCATCACTAGAAGCTGATTAACCAATACTATTAGCCAGAAGGGAAAATGAAAACACAGAAGAAACAAAATTCGAAAAAAAAAAAATATCTAATGCACTATAAACGCCAAAACCACACTCAGCTAATAAAATAAAAACAAAATAAAGAAAAAAGATAAACCTAAGTGATTCACCTTCTCGCCACAGCTGGGGCAGTAATGATATTTATGCCAGAGACAATCCATTGAAGGGCACAGGAAGCAAACTCCAAGCATAAAAGGCATCATACAAGCAACCACGGATGCAAGACTTGGCTTTGATCTGGAACCACAAGAAAATATATATTAAAAAAAAAGAAATAAAAAGATCCAAAGTTATTTCGACATACACCCAAAATGACCAGAATAAGCTTTTACCTGGACTTGAATTCAAATTTAAGAAGGCCAAAGCTTTTTCTGAATTAATTAAGAAGACTGATACTTGGAAAGCAAATCGCGTAGAATCGAAGGATAAACAGCAATATTATCAAGATAAGTTACCGGATCATTATATACATTAAAAAAATACAAAAAAGCCCTATCACTTGAACATGGAGCATGTGTAAAAAGAATTGCTACTCGCCAACTTGGATGAATTTTCATCTCTCCATTGTGAGGTAAAGCTTAGCATACACAAACAGGCCATGATGGTATCTGTCCCATAAATTTCAGTAATATGTCATAAAGTCTCATTCCTAAAGGGCCTCACCTATTCATCCCAAAGTATTACATGCCATGCATGTAACCCTCTACCTAAACCTCGAGTGCAGGTCCAAATCTCTATGCATGTACCCTTGCATGGATTGTAGTGGCTAACAAAGGAATAGCAACTCCCTGCTCATGCATGCATGCAGGCATGTTGCAACTATTGCATGGGATGGAGGTGGCAATCTAATCGAGCCCCTTGGGATTTAACATCGAGCCAACATTCTACGATGTGCTATCAGATTCAAAACATCATGTTGGTGCACCCATTGGGGATGGGAATGCCTCTTCTATGTATTTAACAGTGAGGACCTTTATATAGATGGCAAGCCAATTGAAGGCCTATATTTTACTTACTAGGGAGGACTGATTGAGCCAGGATTTATTGATCATAGATGGGGTGAGGAGTGGGCATTGTTGAATGGTGTGATAAAAGGATGAAACAACGAACTTCCGATTGGGAAGCCCAAATTATCTTGTCAAGGCCGTCATTGGGAAGGAGGGTTAATTGCAATCGAGAAGAAAGCATCTTGAATTCAGTAAGCTCATGGTTTCTTGCAAGGACTTCTAAAGTTAGGGTCCACACCCTTGAGCTCCATGAAATTTCAAAAGATTGTCCCACCATAATATCTCAATTAGAGGTCAAAAGGCAACAAGTATAGACACAAACTTGGAGAGTTGAATTTCCAACACACAAATCCCTCCACAATCCTATACAATAGCCGCTCCTAGATCTGAACTGAATGTGCTCGCACGCTGAATGAAGACAGCATTGAGAGATCGCCATAGCACAAATGATTTGCCATTTTGGTTCCCTTTGGTAGCCACCGTGGTGTCTTGGTATGATATTTGTGCCATACCACAATTTGCCACAGTTGGTTGTCTTGAGTGGCAAATCCCCATCACTATTTAACCAGGAGTGCTATGCTGCAGCGTTTGAGACTACAAATACCCAAATCACCCTGAGATTTAGGTAGGAAAATTCTGTCCTATGCCACCAAGTGGAATTTGTTAAGACTCTCCCACCCAGACCCACAGAATATTCTTCATGAATCGCTCCAGGCGGATCGCCACTGATGCCAGCAGTGAGAATAGGGCCATATAGTGTATGGGGAAATTTGAACAGGATTGTCTTGAGTATTACGCACCCTCCAAGTGAGAGAAATCTGGCTTTCCACACTACTAGTTTGCTCATCAAATATTTCCACAATGGGGTCCCAAAGCTGCTTTCTCAGCTTGCCAATGCACAGCGTTAGACCTAGATACTTGGGTGGAATTGCCTCATAACCACAGCCCAAACACTTTTTCATAGCATGACTAGTTATTGTTGTTGGCGGAAATCGCATAATTTTTTATTTCGCCGTTCTGTTCTTTAGTCCCTTAGTGATTGCTTCACAAAAATTGGGGTATCATTGGCATATTGAAGGTAAGACTGAAGTCAGTTAGTAATCCTAGGTCATAGAGTTGCTCAATGGATTTAATGGAAACCTTTGAAATGTAAGAATGGGGACAGGGGGGCAGAAGATAAGTTATTGAGATGCAACCTCTCAATCAAAGCCTCCACTTCTTACAGAAGCCCATTCTAGAAAATATCTCATCAAGAAAGCCCTAGTCATGCTTTATGGGACGGAACGTTGGGCACTCAAAAAACAACATATTGATAGAATGAGTTTAGCTAAGATGAGGATGTTGAGATAGATGAGTGGCAAGATAAGAAAGGAAAAAACTTGGAATGAATACATCTGAGGGAACTTAGGGGTAGCTCCAATAGGTGATAAGATGAGAGAAAGTGAACTTAGGTGGTCTGGTCATGTGCAACATTGACTTGGAACAACATCAATTAGGAGGAGTGATTTGGTTCATGTGGAGGGCTCTAAAAGGGCAAAGTGAAGGCCCAAAAGGACTGGGCTAGAAACAGTAAAAAGAGATATTGTGACCTATGATTTGAGGATATGGCCCTAGAGAGAGCAGAATGACAAAATAGTTAGGATAAGGCTCAGATGATGATGGTGACAAAGACGAGGAGGCCCAAAACGACATGGTCATAGGCTTTTCCCAATCAAATTTTAGGGACAACTCTTGGTATTCATGCCAGGTGCCTATCTTTGACATATGTCCCCGGTTTGGAGGGAGGACCCATAGCATGACCTCTCTCAAGCAAGATGTAAGAACTTTATATAGCAATTTATAAGAGCTATTAAGCAGGTTGATAGGTCCAAAGTCTTTAAGGTTCTCAGCCTCTCCAACCTTAGGTATGAGGGCCAAGAACGTGGCATTTATGGCCCCATAGAGGCAGAATTCTCCAATGAGATTCTTCCTCCAAGAATTCACATGGCAGTCTTCCGCTCCATTCGTATTGAAGGCTTCCCAGTAAGAAGAATACCTTTATGGTCAAAGCCTTGTACCAAAGGCTTCCTAGTGACCTGCCTGAGGTCCTTGATAGCCTTGATGATTTCTTCCTGCAAGAATGGGGGTTCAAGCCATGAAGTCCATGCATTTGGGTGGGTAAGAATGAGAGGTCAGTCATTTTCAGTTCAGGGCCTGTGCAGGCAGGTAAGAGCTGTCGGAAGAACTTGATGGTAGCATTTCCACTACTTGGGGCTGGTCATATAGGATAGCTTCTACTATGATCTGGTTATCATATTGCATCGGAGCCTGCAAATGGCTATTTTGTGGAAAAACCAAGTGTTTCAGTCTCTTAGCCAGTGCATTGATACCAGATGATCCCTTTCTTGATAATTTCTTAGTGATTGACGTTAGCTCTTGTTTTGTGGTTTCTTTCTACTTGGGCCCCTCAAGGAAGTGTAGATCATTGATGGCTTCCTTTGATGTTCCAAAGTTTCTGAGAATTGTTTACTCCACTACATGAGGGAGGTTTTGAGTAGTTGAAGCTTCTTTTGAAATCGCAAGCCAGCCAAACTGTGTCGAATCTAGTACCACAACGTTAATAGATTTACAAAATTCGGATCCTCACTCCATGAGAGCTTGACCCTAAATGGTCTCTTTCCAACTGACCTGGGACAAGTGTCAAGAGAAGTGCTGGGAATCAAAATCTAACTAGAATTCAATCTAATAAGCACACACCACCCTAAGGGTAAAATTGTCCATGCGCTCCTAGTCCATTAGGCCTAAGAACATGTGCAACATGCATCCCAAGTCCAGGGGAGTTCACATGGCGTTTCCTTACCCTCCACGTGGTACATAAGTGGCTAAGCACAAAACCAACTTGTGTCACAAGAAACTCACACAATTGTCCCTCTTAATAGTCTTCTAATTAAGCAGGATTTTAAGAAGAGTCCCTGTTTAAGAAATATAATTTTTTTCATAAACGCCTGTGTTCTAAAAATCAATTTACTACAAAAAAATGTGACTAATTAGAGAAACAAAACCTATTTTACTTCCTCAAAACACCCTGAAAAGCCATAGAAAATACTTTTGGAAGAGTGTGCATGCAATGGGACAAAAAAACTAATTGGGCACTGCATGAGTATCCTGTAATCACACCCTAACCTAACTAACTCATGATGCACATACTTACCATGCAAAGCACTCATGATTGGCCCATCAAAATTACCCAAAAGGTAAACCCTAGTGTAGCCACAAATTACAGGCGTCTCCCCAAGGACAAGTCTAGATCATATAGTCCATCTTGGGTACTGTGCCTAGGCATGAACCATCCATGTGCACCGAGTCATGCCACCGATCCATCTCTGGACCAAAGAAACACAACTAGCAACGCACAGGTTGTGTTACAACCCTTCTCCTCAAAGGCCACCATCCTATCATACCAAAGTGTCTTGCTTTCCTCCAGGCCCAACCATAAGAGTATTTAGTTCCTCTTGTGCCACCTCAGACAAGGGTGTCTTGGTTTCCTCCTCGCAAAGACATTCACGACTAGGTTGATCCTAATTTCGAATAGGACAACCCGTAAGCCCACCTCGGTGATGCATCAAGGGACAACACCTACCCAACCCATGGAGCAGGTACCAGTCAATCAAACCAAGGTCTCGTCGCACACCTAGGTGAGAGTGAAGAGCATCAATGCCCCATATAGAGTCCACTCCAACATGGCCCACATGCCAAAACAGCTCTAAATTGCATAAAGCCCATTCACGTAGCCTGTTCATCCATGTGGTGTGAACCTCCACTCAATCCAGCAATATTCATTCATTAACATAAAAGCACGAGTATACATTCACATAGTAACGTACAAGAGAGACAAACCAAAGCAAGTGCCTGAAGCCTTAAAGGCCACAAACCTCAATACTACAGACTTGGCCACTAGCAAAAAGGAGCCAACACTCTAAGTTAGACATTCGACTTGGATAAGCTCAGACAAACTTTTCAAATTTACAAAATATTTTACATTATCAAAAAAATTTGTAAAATATTTTTGAAAACAGCATTTTGTAACAGGATTTGAACCTTGGTCATCACCAAGTCAAATTTCATTCTTACCATGTCAAAAAACACTATTGTTGTTGTCACAACAACACAAATAATTACGTATAAGTATAACCAAAAACTCGGGACATCCTAATTTTTCCAGACATAAAACTAGGCAATTGATCAAGTCGGATTCACTTTTTCAGAGTTGGAAAGAGTTTTTATTCACTAAATCCAACAAAAAGATGTATAAATGAAGGTTTACATGTAAGGTGTCAAGGTAGTCGAAGATTGCTTTTGAAAATCAGAGCTACTCTACCCACTCACTCTGTTATCAAGGGTCACATCTTTGTTGGTTTCTCCAACATTCATAAAAGGAGAGCACAACAAGGAGACTAATCTGAAATACCTTCTTGAGGTCATCAAATAAAACTTATTTAGAAACAGATTTCACCATAAAAATTACAGATCCTTGTTTCAAACTAAACAGAGAAACAAAACCTCATCAGGATATCTAGCAAAGTTTGTATCCAATAATCTTCAAAATTCTAGGCTCTCAGCCAAATAAAGCATATCCAGTTCTATGGATGTTACGTATTCTATTAGCTACTAGCCAACAAAGCATACAAGTATTCATTTTTTATCTACTCACAAGTCTGATTATAGAATATACATACAATCATTCATTTTTTATCTACTCAAAAGTCTGACTATAGAACATACATCAAGTCTCATACACAACATGGCATAAATAATGCACCCTATTGCTTGTGCATAAGTGCCACATTCCAGTTCTAGACCTAACCTCATTATTGAAAGGAACACTCTTTTTTATAGCTTCAATCCTTTATAAATTGAAGTGTTCATGGGTTTGGATATTTCCATTTTGAATCTTGAAAGATAAGCTCAAACTTTTGGACACACTATCTCTTGTGATCTCTATGTATAAACCCTACAATGCTTCTGCCATATCCTTTCATCCTAATAGAGAGTCAGTAAAGATTAATATGTCAGCTCGATCTTATTTTAACTGATATACCATCTACACAGGAACATATGTTCAGAAAATCACACCTCCTATCAAAATACATACACAATGGTTTAATCAATTGGCCACATATTCATTTGCAAAGTAAAACAGAAAACCCCATTATCCATATAATTGTAATAGCCCATAAAATGATTTCTTCAATTGCATGTTTTATCTTCTTTCCTTAAGCCACATAGCCTTCTAGTTATTGCACATAAATATCTTCTTTGATTCTCCATTTTAGGAAGTTGCCTTACTAACATCTGAACTGGCTCCAGGACATAATATGCTACTACTGCCATCATCATCATTATAGATCAAATTTTCTCAGGAGCATAAATCTCAACATAATATGCCACCTCTATCCGAGTAAACCCCAATGGCCGTGCAACTGGACCAACTTTTGTGGTTTAAGTCCCCAACATTTCTAATACCACATGTTAGATTTGGACTTCAACATTTCTAGTACCACATGTTAGTTTTCCCAAATCCACCATCTATTTTCCATATTACTTCTTGGAAGACATAATACAGGTATGTGTCATGTTTGAACCATTGTTTTCAAGCTTGTCCTAAATTCTTTAAATCTACTGATTTCAAATATTGGATAAGAACATGTGCAAACTAATCAAGGTTTTTGTGCATGGATTTCTGTTCCAAATCACTAAGTAGTTTGACAACTAAGCAGTCTAGCAACCTAATCATTGTAACATATAATACAGCAGTCATCAGACAATGTTTCGGCACAGCTCATAAACTAAAAAGAGCCTGATGTTTCGGCACCCCCTACAAGACATAAACATGTTAATCTCTTAGACCAGCACATATGAGGCAATCAGGCCTCTTCATTGGTTCCTTAGAAACTAGAATAATTGACCATGTTGCATGTAAGTGTCTTGGATCAATAAACTTCAAAACAAAAGGAACTGGGGAAGCTGTTTTCATCACTAAAATCGAATTTGTAAGATTGGGTTGTAAATAATTATCTACTTTGCAAGGATTCTTTTGTTTCCATGTCCTATCCATGTCGGACACATATCGGCACATATACCAACATAGATTCTCTTGGATTGTTCTTCTTGTTCACTAACGACTGCAGACTGACTGATGTTTGAATACTGGCGAGTTAACTTGGAATCCCCTGAGCAACTCGGGCTTCACGGGGTGCCTTTATGAGTCCCCCCATACTTGGGGGTATATATCAAAGTTGATTCAAAATGATTAAAATGGATTATAAATTCATTTAGTCTCTGATTAAATCAATTATACTTTACTTATTATTAGTTTTCTAAATACCTTTTATGGTTATATAACTTTTAATAATTTTTCTTATTTTTCTAAGAAAATGATATTTGATTAATTTTCTAATTTTTACGTTTTGAAGACTTTATTCATATTTTGTATACTTTTTCAAGATTTTCTGGGTTTCTTACTCTTTTGTTGTCTTGGAACAAACTTGGGCGAGTCAACTCCGACTAGCCAGAGTAAACTGTCCAGGCCAGTAGCCGACGTACCCACCAGAGCCAACTTAAAAAACGTTGCCTTTGAATAAATCATTTTAGAGACTTTTTTTTTAATAAATAAATCATTTTGGAAACTTGATCGTTTTTTTGTTTTGACATATGTACTTCAAAATTATTTAAAGATTCGGTCAACTAAAGCATAATTCTTTTTTTGTTTGAAAAATAGCATAATTTATATTTTCTTTTTAACTACTCTTAATTAAATGGAAGTTTAGTGCACAATTTTGGATTGTTTGTCTCTATATTATATATATTATAGCTGTGTTGCGGAATCCTGTTATTCATAATATGAGTAATCCAATAAACCATAATAGTAGGGAATTTAGAAAGCGAATCACAAACAACTTGAATGGGTTTTTCAGTGTAAACACCCTGAGAAGTAACAATAAAATCCAGGAAGTCCCCTTACCGATCACCTCATTCTGTAATAGTGTCTGATAAACACATTATCGAACAGCTGTTTGCCAACAAGTACCTAATTAGTTTTCCATAATGTAGATCAAATTCTTCACAATTGTGAAGTAAATCGAGTGCATCTCAATTCTTTATAATCGATCACAAACCAAATCAAATCCATCCGATTTACTTTGTAATATAAGATCGGAATTCTAGTTCCTGTTATCAAAATCCAAGAGAACATAACACATACATAAATCGCCCAAAAACCAGGGTAGCCACAGGGTCCAACAGTTTTCCAAATCCAACCCGATGCAAAAATGTTAATAACATACAAAACAAATGAAACACAACATATATTCCCAAATCAAAACCTAAAGCCGAGAAAGAGATAGAGATAAAGCATAGAAGAAGAGAGAGAAAGAGCAAACGATATCAATTGTGCGCACCTAACGTTCGTTAATCCGGAACTCCCACAATAAACACAGTTGAAAGGGGCAGGGGTATCTCTGTATATGGTTTGCTGCAACGGAACCCCCTTTGGATCACCATAGATAACATTTGAAGGGATCATACCAGCCTGATAAGGGTTTGGAGCTGTGTAGTACGTTTGAGGAGGCACCATGGGCTGCGCATTACCATAACCATAAGGAATCCCAACAACTGCTTCTTCTTCTTTACCCATCTCCCTCTTCTGCAACTTCCTCAACAAAACCCTATAAATTTCCTCTGAAACTATAGCAAACGAACCCTAAAGATCTTCTTCAAATTCACCTCGAAGCCTAAAATTCTTCTTCAGAAAAATAACCCTACAAATCTTCTTGTATGCGCAAAGAAACCTAGAACAAACACGACCAAAAAAACCCCTAGAAATCTTCTTCTGAAACTGCCCAAAGAAGCCTTGTGATTTGAGAATTGTTTATCAGGGTTTTGAATAAGTAAACAAAATGTTTCAAATTCATAAAACAAGAACAACAATGGAAGGAAAACGCGTCGCCATAAATAAACTGAAGCGTGCGTAGAACGTTCTCTGCAGATAAAATGACCAAAACCCCGATGGGTTTCTAATTTCATTATTACCCTTTGAAACCGGCATGGCTAAAATTAAGGGAAATTTATCAAAGGGTGTAGTTGGCATACGGTGCATCCGTATGTGCAGAGGTCAGGTGCACCAGCATTTTTAAATCTTCAAATTTTATCGTAGTATGTAATTTTGATGTAAAATGTTTTTAAGATTATACCAAAATATGCTTTTATTCTAATTATAAAATTTTAAATTGGAAAAATGATTAAAAATAAATAAATCTATAAATATATGAAAATTTTGAAAATGGACAGTGTAGATATTAAGTTGTAAAATGTATTATTTTTTAGACTTAAAATCTTTATATTTTTCATAGTCATACATATTAATGTCGAGATGATCAATCAAAAGGTTTTTCAACATTAAAACTATCTTTTCCAATGGATTTTTGAGGGGCATCCGTAGTTCTATACTATAAGGTAGCATCCATAAATAAATTTTTCCCTTTAGGAAAATAGGGCAAGCTTTCTGAGCTTCCCTTATAGCATAGAAGTTATATCATCTCCCTTATACAACTGGCTATTCTGAATGGTAGGCTAAGATTGCCCCAATCACAATGT